GCAAAATCATGATGGAATTAAAAAAAAATCTATTTACATATTTGAAAATCCCCTCACACTCTGGGCTTTCTACCCTCCCCCAAATCTTGAGCTCATGGGTATTGCTTCATCAGCTAAAATCTCGACGGGGTTCAGATCCTGCCATCTCCTTCCCTAAAGATTTATTTTCCCAAACTACTTCTCCGCTCCTAGAAATGGAGTGGTGTCCCTTGAGCTGAGTTTTTGAAAACAATGCTGGGCCAAGCTCGCCTGGTCCGACTCGAGCTTGGGGGCTCTGGCCCCATGGGCAAAGCCGCAGATATGTTTGTGGGAGGCGGATGTGGGTCTCAGAGAGTGAAACAAGAGGGCTGGGGACGGCTGAAACGGATGGGGGAGACCACAGGCTCCCAAGAAAGCAGGGGATGAGGGAGGAGGAAGGCCTGTGTTTAGGTCTTGTTTTTTTTTTTTTTTTTTTTTTTTAAGAAATTGCCTTTGGTCTGAAGATTTGGGGAGATGGGGCACGATTTTGTGTGAACCTTACAGGAGGTCCTGGAATTTGTGTTGTTTTGGTGGTAACAGCTAGAGGGCCCAGGATCAGATGGGTGCTCAGAATTAGATATGGGAGCTCCAAGCCAAGTCTTTGTGTCCTTCTTTTTCCTCTCTCTCCCTCCCAAATCTCTAAAGCTCTCTGGTGGGCTCTGGAGACCCCAGTTCAGTTCCTAGAGTCTCTCAGAGGACGTTAGGTGTCTGGCTACAGGTCTGGGGTGGGCACAGGAGAGAAGAACGAGAGATAGGGCCTCCAAGAATTATTCAAATTCCTGGGGTGCTTGGGTGGCTCAGTCGGTTGAGCGTCTCCCTTCGGCTCAGGTCATGATCCCAGGGTCCTGGGATCGAGCCCCACGTTGGGCTCCCTGCTCAGCGGGGTGTCTGTGTCTTCCTCTCCCTCTGCCCCTCTGCCTCCCCCTGCTTGTGCTCTCTCTCAAATAAATAAAATCTTAAAAAAAAAAGAATTACTCAAATTCCCAACATTGGAATATGCCAAGCCTGCTGTGTTAAATCCCAGGTCTACTGGGAATGTGCTGGAAATGCGTTTAGAATGTGCTGGGCCTGCACTTTGAAATGAGGTGAGGCTGAGAGCCAGACTTGAGAAGTTACCAAATTAGTCTTCAGGCTGGCAATGCTCCAGGAGAACCAGGGCAGAAGCCCGCAGAGCCTGGGGCTGCCTCTCCTAAGTGCAAGGACCCCACAGACTCATCAGGCAGGGAGGGCCTGCAGGCTTCCTCACAGACAGGGCTTGTGGAGGGAGGATGTGCAAGCAGCCTGGAAAAGGGCCGATCATCATGTCCCATCAAATAAAAACCCTCTGAGATGCTCCAGTACAGATGTTTTGCTTTACAGAGCTGGAGTGGTGATGGGCCACTGTCCTCCTAAGGCGGTGGTTCTCAACCAGGGGGGAATCTGACCCCAGGGGACATTTAGCAGTGTCTGGAGACATCTGGGGGTTGGAGGGGCAAAGTGTGCTACTGGCATCCAGTGGACCGAGGACAGGAATGCTGCTAAACATCTCACCCCAACAAAATGATCAGGCCCCAGATATCACTGGTGCCAAGGCTGAGACCCAGGGCCAACACTGGAAGCTGACCTTCCTTCTGGTCCTCTGGAACTCAGGATCTCTCCAAACAAAATTCAGTTAAACATTTATGGAGAAACTGCTCTTTTTCCCAGGCACGTCACCAAGTGTTTTCTCATCCAATAAATAAGCTAGTGATTCTGCTTTACTGTGGTCTTGATTTTTCAAATTAGGAAACAGATTTCCCTTATCCATTTCCCTTTTCTTATTTTTTCCTTTTTTTTTTTTTAAGATTTTATTTATTTATTTGACAGAGAGAGACACAGCGAGAGAGGGAACACAAGCAGGGGGAGTGGGAGAGGGAGAAGCAGGCTTCCCGCGGAGCAGGGAGCCCGATGCGGGGCTCGATCCCAGCACCCTGGGATCATGACCTGAGCCGAAGGCAGCCGCTTAACGACTGAGCCACCCAGGCGCCCCTACCTTTTCTTATTTTCAATGATTCGTTTTCTTCCTCTGAATTCTGGAATCACCCAGTGTGCTGGCCAGTACCACAGTCTGATTTGCCTTCAAAGTGGGTTTTCGTTGTGCTACTGGTAATCTTTCTCCTCCATTTGTAGTGGGTTTAAACACTTAAAGATCCATCTACTCTCGTTTTCGAGGAGTCTCGGGAATGAGAGGGGATTGACCTCTATCTTCAATCTGCCATCTTTAATCATGAGGCCAATTTTGCCTCTTTCTAAGGACTGAAAATAGATTTCTTCTAAAAATTTTAACCCAATTTTATGGAGAAGAATTTTCAGTGGCCTGATATACTTCTGATTCTTCATAGTCTATGATGGAGGTAGAAACATAGGGCCTGAGAGGCGGGCAGAAGAAGTTCAAACTCTGATTGCTAGTGGCTGCAAATATCGTTTCTCACAGTTGGTGGATGGTGACATGGTTCTCTGCCTAAACTCTGGCACACTGGCCTGTTCTTACCTATAAAGGTGACCCTTGAACAACATGGATTTGAGCCCTGCTGGTCCATTTTTTTTTTTTTTTTAAGTAATCTCTACGCCCAATGTGGGGCTCAAACTCATGACGCTGAGATCAAGAGTAGCATGCTCCACGGACCTAACCAGCCAGGTGCCCCAGGGGATTTTTTAAAAAGGAGTTGACAGCAAAAGCCACAAGGCATTTATTTACAACTGCCCATCCCGTCTTCACGGGATTGAATGGTAGGCTACAGGGGCAGAAGTTGAGCCTGCTGCCGAGTTCGCCAGGGAGGACTGCCGAGGACGTTGGCAGCCCCCGGGGGCCCTGGGACGGGCAGGGCTGCAGATCGTCCCGTGTGCTGTTGGTCAGGTCGGACACCTGGGCCTTGCGACTGTGCCAGGGCAGGTCGGACACCTGGGTTTTGGGACTGCGCCAGGGCAGCTGTGGGCCTTGGGCTCCTCCCTGCCGGGCACAGACCCCTCCTCAATGCCGCTTCTTGGAGGTGGGCACCTTCACGAGTGGCTGCATCTGCTGATGGCCACTGGCTGGTGGCGCACCGCCGGGCAGATGGGGCGGCTGTTCCTGCCTGAGGAGCCACTTGGCAGTTGCCTCTGTTGAGCCGAGGCCACCAGGCCGTGGAATGTCACTGTCCTGGGGCGAGGCCAGGGGCTGCAGCTGCCCCTGCCCTCCTGCCAATACATGGGTTTTTTTCAATATACATACACTCCTGTGAACGCATTTTCTCTTCCTTATGATTTTCTCAGTAACATTTTCTTTTCTGTAGCTAACTTTTCCTGTAAGAATGCAGTATATAGTACCCATGACATACAAAACATGTGTGAATTGACTATTTATGTTGTTGGTAAGGCTTTTGCTCAATGGAAGGCATAAGTAGTTAAGTTTTGGGGAGGAGCCAAAAGTTACATGCGGAATTTTGACGGCAGAGGGGTCAGTGCCCCTAACCCCCACGCTGTTCAAGGGTCAACTGCAGTTTATAACATGAGTGCCCATTTGAATGGCCTTGTGCGTCTTTCTGGGTATTTTAATCGGGAAGCTGATACGAGGCAAGATAGGCATGTCTCATCTGCTGCCATGTCATAAAGAAATCCAGATTATTATTACCAGAATTGAAAGGGAGATGCCTCGGGATACCTGGGTGGCTCAGTCGGTTAAGCGTCTGCCTTTGGCTCAGGTCATGATCCCAGGTTCAGGGATCAAGTCCCAAAATGGGCTCCTTGCTCAATGGGGAGCCTGCTTCTCCCTCTGCCTGCTTCTCCTCCTGCTTGTGCTCTCTCTGTGTGACAAACGAATAAATAAAATCTAAAAAAAAAAAAAAAAAGAAGGAAAGGGTGACGCCTAAGCAAGTGCAGAGAGGAAACCAGGGTGGCTAAGTCCTTGATGCAGCTGGAGGGGCCCAAGGACACAGGTCTGGAAGGGAGAGTGGCCTTGGGCAAGTGCAGAGCCACTTCTCTACGATGCTACAGAAGGGAGCAGCACAAGACAGGGGCTGCTTGGTTCCCCATCAGAGAGTCTCTATTTTTCCTGTGGAATAAAGTTTGGGCCGAACAGGGGCGGTGAGAAACAGCGGCTGGGCATTGAGGAGGGCTCTGTGTTGTGACAAAGATAAAGATGGTGCACGGGCTTACAGCAGGATGCTCTTCTGTCCGGAGAAGTGAGGGATTTCTGAAGTCTGTTCCTGACCACGGTCACCTCTTGCCACGCGGGAGAGATGAGCCCAAGGAACAATGTACAAAGGAGGGTGGAATTTCGAATTTTTATCCAGTCAGCTCTGGCTTTGGCCCCACACCTCATTACATTCACTTAGTAGATTCTGCTGAGTTTTCTTTAAAATGTTCTCCTTTTCCAAAGCTGGTTGGGCCTAAAGAACACCAGACTCAAGAGGGCCTTGACACTCTGTTCACTTGATCCACAGCAAGCCCCCTACTCTAACCACATCTCCATCTTACCACCGCACTGGGAGTGGAGGCCAGACCCTCACACCCGTGAGCAGCTGAGGGTCAGCGCCAGAGAAAAGCAGAGGGCACGCGAATGCATGTTTGCCCCAGGGTCAGCCCTGATTGTGTTCAGGTGCCCCTGGGGGTAGCCCCAGGCCTGGCGGCCATCAACTGGGAAAGAAACCATTTTCAGAGGGCTCTGGACTCTGACTAGCCTTTGGGAAAGGGACAGAGGGAGGGAGGGAAAGAGAGAGACACAGACAGAGCCTGGTCTTCTACCACACGGTACAGAACGGGGCAGAAGAGAGAGCCATCCCCACATCCACTCACTAATTTACAGAGATGACTCCATTACCTAGAATTAGGAACCATCAGTCTTGGTAATAAATCCACCAGGTGAGGAGCAAGCAGGCTTGCTTTATCTATCCTTGGATTCACAGTGAAGAGGTGGCCTTGCCCTCCTCCCGAAGGACAGGGAGCAACACTCCCCCCCTCATTCCTGTCCTCTGCTCCCTAGCAGGATGTGCGGCAGGTTCGTGAGGCAGCTGTTGGCTGAAGAGAGCAGGCATTCCACCATCGTGGGGCACCTCCTGCTCCCAGTGCTCCTGGGCTTCCGCCTCGTGCTGCTGGCTGCCAGTGGGACCGGGATCTATGGCGATGAGCAGAGTGAATTTGTGTGTCACACGCAGCAGGCAGGCTGCAAGGCTGCCTGCTACGATGCCTTCCATCCCTTCTCCCCACTGCGCTTCTGGGCCTTCCAGGTCATCCTGGTGGCTGTGCCCAGTGCCCTCTACATGGGTTTTACTCTGTACCATCTGATCTGGCATTGGGAAGAATCAGGAAAGGTGAAGGAGGAGACTCTGCTCCGCCAAGGGGAGAAGAGCAGAGATGACGCTTCGGGGCTGGGAAGCCCCAGGCTGCTCTGGGCCTATGTGGTACAGCTGGGGGTGAGGCTGGTCCTTGAGGGGGCAGCCTTGGGGGTGCAGTACCATCTGTATGGCTTCAAGATGCCCAACTCCTTTGCATGTCGTCGGGAGCCTTGCCTCGGCAGTATAACCTGTTATCCGTCCCGCCCTTTTGAGAAGACCATCTTCCTAAAGACCATGTTTGGGGTCAGTGGGCTCTGTCTCTTGTTTACTCTTTTGGAGCTTGTACTCCTGGGCCTGGTGAGATGGTGGAGGACCTGGAAGCACAAATCTCCTCCTTCTAACTACTCCCCAGCTGCAGAGAGCACCAAAAAACACAAGGAACCGACTGACAGCTTCCCAGCGGTGGAAGCCAAAGAGCAGTTCCGAGAAGCAGGTGAGAAGGCACTGATGTCCCTCCTTCTTCGTGCTTCTGATGTCTTTGTCCTCATGATCTCCCATGGCAGGTCCCTCCCGCGTGTCACAAAACAGAAAACCGGGTTCTAGGCAGATGTCTTCTGACCCCTGCTCCCAGCCCATCCCCCAACCCCCATCCCCATGACTTTGACGATTCCTTCCAATGAACCGGGACCAGGGCGCTCAGTCAGTACCTCCTGCCTTTCCACTTAGGCCTCTTCCTACTTAGAAAAAGTCTCAGCTCCTGCTTGGTTCTCTACTTTGCAGAGTTATGAAGCCACCTGCCTCAACTCTGAAGGGAACCCTACGATTGGATCTTCTTCCGCACATCCAGTGAGTGGGGATGTACTTCCATGACAGATTAGAGGCTGTTGAAGCATCTCCCAGGGCCATGGTGGGCCACGCTGCCTGAGGCATTTCCCGGGAGAACTCCAGCTCGTGCCTTCCTTCCAGAATCTCCTGGTGTCAGTGGCACCATTTTCACGGGCTTGGTTCCAGAGTTGGCCGGCAGAAGCCTCCGTAAAACTGTTGCTTCTCCCCTGTCCTGCGCAATAAATACTGTTGCTGTTGGCATTCCTGTTGCTGAATACAATCTTCCTGTCACGGTGACTCTACTTACCTCTCCTCTGTGGTTCCACGGTCTCTGCTCCCCCCAGCTTCAAAGTCCTGTAACCTCTGGATGTCCCCAGCCCCGCGGTGTCTGTCATATTCAGACTGGCCCTCCATGCATCTATAACCCAGTGTCCTTTAACATTCAGATTTGGTTTAGTCAAACACCCAGCCACATCCTGTAAGCCGATTACTGGCAGCTCGGAGGCTTATGGACCTGGGGCCACTGCCAGCTCCAACTTCTGCTCAATTCTTGTTTTCTACTTGGTGCACAGCAGCTGTCCCCTTGTCTCCAGCCCAGCAGCAACTCACACGAAGGGCCAAATTCCTACTTTTTAAACTCATACCCCTCGTTTCCACCCAGAAAAGACAGGAGAGTTTTGCTGCTGATTCAGGGGTAAAAGGAAGGGAGTATGATTACATCACACTATGATTCGGCAGGTAATTTAAAGCTAAATATCAAGCTTCTCTTTTCTGAGTCTCTCCGTCCCATCTGCCTGAGGGTATTCCAGCCCCCCACCTTCCTGCAGAAACATCTTCCCCCCTCAGTTCTTCCTTGACCTCAAATTCTCAACAAAGAGCAACTACCTGGTTTTGTTTTCTCCTTCTGAATCCCAAATTATACCAGGGTAAGTCAGGAAGGCTCACTCCTAAGGGAAGACATTTGGTCCCCCAAGGGACCAACAACTAGAAAATTAGTAATTTTTCTTTCTGCTATGCAAGTGTTTTTATAAAGAATCTCTCATCTACTGTAACCAGAGTCCAGCCAAGTGACCAAGAATGGAAAAAAAAAGCAAATGTCATCATTCGGAATTCCCTCTTGATAATCCTTTTTAAACAGCTTTATTGAGCTAGAGTTCACATATCACACAATTCACCCACTGAAAGCATACAATTCAATGGCTTTTAGTATAATCACAGAGTTGTGCATTTACTAATACAATTTTAGGACATTTTCATCAACTCAAAAAGAAACCAACAACACTTAGTTTTTACCCCCAAACCTCCATGCCCCCCTCCAAACATAAGCAACCACTGATATAGTTTCTCTCTCTCTATATATATATTTCTCTCTTATAGATTTTTGTGTTCTGGACCTTTCATACAAATGGAATCAATCATACAATATGTGGTCTTTGCAACTGACTTCTTTCACTTAGCATGTTTTTGAAGTCTATCTATGTTGTAGCACGTATCAGTACTTCATCCCTGTTTATGGTTTAATGATTTCATTGTATGGCCTACTACACATTTTGGTCCATTTTTCAGTTGATGGACATTTGAACTGTTTCTACTTGTTGGCTATTATGAATAATGGTGCTATGAACATTCATGTACTAGTTTTTGTGTGGATATGTATCTTCAACTCTCTTGGGTAAATACCTATGAGCGGAATTGCTGGGGCATATGCTAACTCTTTTTTAAACTGTTTTCCACAGCAGCTGTACTATTTACATTCCCAGCAGCAATGTATAAATGGGTTCCAAATGTATCCACATCCTTGCCAACACTTGGTTATCTCCTTCCTTCCTCCCTTCCTTCCTTTTTTTTTTTAATTTAATTTTTTAAATCACATCCTAGGGGTGTGAAGTGGTATCTCATTATGGTATGATTCGCATTTCCCTAATGATGCTGAGTATCTTTTCATGTGCTTATTGACTATTAGTATATTTTCTTTGGAGAAATGTCTACTCAGATCTTTTGCCCATTTTTTAATTGGGTTGTTTGTACCTCTGTTGTTGAGTTCTTTACATATTGTGGATACTAGGTCCTTATCCAATTTAAGATTTCCAAATATTTTCACCCATTCAGTGGGTTGTCTTTCACTTCACTGATCATGTCCTTTGATGCACAAGTTTTTAATTTTGAGGACATTCAGTTAATCAATTTTTCTCTTGCTACTTGTGAGTTTGGTGTTATATTTAAGAAATGGATACCTAATCCATGGCGGTGAAGATTGACACCTAAGTTTCCTTGTAAGAGTTTTACAGTTTCAGCTTTACATTTAGGTCTGATTGATTTTGAATTAATTTTTATATATGGTATAAGGGTTCAACTTGATTCTTTTGCATGTGGGTATCTAGTCCCAACACCATTTGCTGAAAAGCCCATTTTTCTTCCATATAATGATTTTCAGCATCCTTGTTGCATATCCATTGCTTGTCAATGTATAGCACTATTTCTGGACTCTCAATTCTATTCCATTAATCTATATGTTTATTCCTATCCCAGTACCACATGTTTTGATTGCTGTAGCTTTGTAATAAGGTTTGAAGTTGGGAAGTGTGAATCCTCTGACTTTGTTCTTCTTTCTCAAGGTTGTTCGGCTATTTGGGGTCTCTTGAAATTCCATATGAATAAAATTGTGACTTAGAAGTCCTCAATATTTTCAGTAAAGAAGGAAGTTCACCTCAGGAGTATGGCAGGATAGAAGCCATAAGGACCTTAAGGTGTCATGGGACCTTATGTTTGCCACTCAATACAATACATAGGCAGACATATAGACACATACACGCTTACATCACATTCATGGCAAAAATCAGGAACTGAGGAGAGCACTTCTTCCTGTTTGGTCCATATTAAGACTCAGATTCCTTCTCAATACAGCATTCCAATTTTCAAAGAAAATGCATTTGTTAGTTGTATAAACATCTAAAAGTGTAGATATTCTGTCGGACTTCTGTCAAAAACCCCAACACAGAGATCACAGGAACCCCCTTTTCAAGTCATTTAATCGGACATTCAGTAACTACTTACTGAGCATATTACAGGAAAGGCAGTATCTGATATTGGGGCACAAGAAGAATTTAAAAATTTCATTCATAAGAAAAGGAATAGAGTGAGAAGAATAAAATAAAAAAAACCCAATGAAGGGAAACAGACAATTCCCTGAAATAGGCAAGCATACTGTTTGTCCTCAATGGATGTTTCTTGAGATAGCAAAATGGTTGCTGTTCAAGTTGGGTACCAAAAAATGATGTATCCACACTTCCGAATCTTAACCACTCCCACTTAAAAAACTGATTTCCTTTCCACCCACTCTCTGGTCCCATCAGATTATTCATAATGTCCTCCTCTGACACTTAAGAGCTCCACTCTCCAGACTTTGTTCTGGCACTCTCGTCTGGACCTCTTCAGGTAGGAGGGTCGGGAACTGCTCCAGCAGCTGCGGCTGCAGCTACAGGATCTGGCTCCTCTCTAGCATCTTAGATCACCCCAAGCTGGCTTGGAGCATCCCATACCCACAGACCTCCCGCGAGCTGAACCACCTAAGACACGGGTGGGAAGTCTCCTATCCGGATAAGATCATCTAACCCTAGATTCTTTACCCTGACTTAATTGTTAGAAAGCCCTATCTGCGCTGGGTGAGTGTGTCCCATGCTCTAAGAATGAGTTTCTTTTACTTGGTGTTTGTCTCCTGTGCTTGGAAAAAAAGAGAGGGAAATCAAGGTGGCAGGGTGAACAGCCATCCCCCCACTAGCTCGTGGGGGCTAACCACTCCCTTTTCCTGCTCGCCTCTCTGAATACCGGCTCTTCAATTCACCCGACTCCTCCAACACCAGGAGAATATGTGGGCTTCGCGGGGGCAGGAGAAAATCCAGCCTTTCCAAGAACTCAACTAGCCCTTGGGGTTGGAGACCGAAAACGAAGGCTGAATGAAAAGAACGGACTTCAGGGAGAGCGAGCTTAACGGGCTCAGCGCCTTCTTTGGCCCCCACTTTGGCCCAGCTGCACAGATCCCTCTAGTTCTTGTGGCCCTCCAGGCCCTGGGGCTGCAGCACACCCAGAACGCCCGCCCGGGTGGCAGCTCGCCGAGGACGCCAGAACGTAAGTCGCCCCGAGCGACCAGCAGCGAGGGAACGCGGAACTCACCTCCTCCGCGTGAAGGACAGGCCAGGCTCGTTAGCGCCTCCCCGCTTTGCTCCTCCAGCTGCTGCACGCGAGGGCTCCTCGCGTCCTCTCTAGGCGTTCCGGAGCAAGTTCCGCATCTCTATCGTCGGCCAGAGGGGCAGCCCACGTCCCATCGTGCCCCGCGGCCAGGCCCCGGCCGCCTCGCCCCGCCCTCGCGTCGCGGAAATCCTGCGGTCGCCGGGCTCGCGCTCAGGCTCCGCAGCGCGCGCTTGAGCGAGGGTTTCTGGCCCGCCGGCGCGCGCCCGGACTGGGTCCCGAGCCCCTAAGGGAGGGGCCTCACTTTCCTCTCCCGGCCGCCAGCTGACTGCGGGCCGCACCCGAACCCGCACCCGCGCCCGCCCCCCGCGTCGGACCCGAACCCGGGGCAGAGAAGCGGCATGGAAGCCGAGGACCTGCAGGAGGACCTGACCTGCTCCATCTGCCTGGACTATTTCGAGGACCCGGTGTCCATCGAGTGCGGCCACAACTTCTGCCGCGGCTGCCTGCACCGCAGCTGGGCGCCGGGCGGCGGCTCGTTCCCCTGCCCCGAGTGCCGGCAGCCTTCGCTGCCCGCCGCGCTGCGGCCCAACTGGGCCCTGGCCCGCCTGACGGAGAGGACGCGGCGCCGGCCCCAGGGCCCCGTGCCCCCCGGCCAGTGCGGCCGCCACCGGGAAGCGCTGCGGCTCTTCTGCGAGGAGGACCAGCGGCCCGTGTGCTTGGTGTGCAGGGAGTCCCGGGAGCACCAGGCGCACACCATGGCGCCCATCGACGAGGCCTTCTGCACCTACCGGGTGAGCGGGCAGTAGCGGGGCTGCCGCTGTTCCCGGGAACGTGTACTGTTTACCTCATTCTCATGAAAGTACCCACGAGGAGGCTGCTATTCCTATTGAACGTACGACCCCACCCCCCCTTCCCAGGCCCGCAGGTGCAAAGAAGTTAAGCGTCACATAGATCTCACAGCTGGGCTTAAAAACTGGGATGGGGAGGGTCTGCATTGAATTTTCATGGTACTGGCCCTGGGAGCTCCTAGTTCAATAAGACAAACCGAGAGGGTGTATCCCAGTGCTGTCCAATAGAAACAGGATGCGAACCACGTATATAATAAAACTTTCCTAGTGGTAAGAAGAAACGGGTGATGCTAACTTTAATACCATATTTTATTGAACCCAGTTATCCAAACTGTTATTCAACAGTAAATCGCTATGAAAAGTTAGTGAGATATTTTACTCTTGCTTTTCATAATGGGCCTTTGAAATCTGTGTTTACGTTTACAGCACGTGTCAGTTGGGACCATCCACATTTTAGGTGCTAATGGGTGCTGTATTGGACAGTGCAGGTGTACACCTACGGGTATAACAGACCACTGAGGATTTGGGAAAAGCTGGGCTTGGAGTGATGAGGCTGGGGTCTATTACCAGCTTCCTTCATCAGTTGCGAAAAACCACGTAATGTTTGAATTTGGAGATTATCTGTCCTGCCTATTTTGTGGGTTAAGGAGTTTCAGTTGAATAAATCAGTTTATCTTACTCTGCTCCAGCCACACTGCCTTCTTGCTTTTGTTTCAAGCCTGTCTTTTTCTCTACCCCCACCTTCCATCCTTTACATCTTTTTGGCTTTTAGCTTGAAGACCTTCCTTGATCATCTTTTCCAGAGTAGTCCTACCCCCTTCTCTGGTGTAACTCCAGTGGTCTCCGACAGAATTGGTTTCTAGTAAGTACTGGTTGAATACACGAGTTTAATGATACAAGTTAAAGTGTTTTGTAAACTATAAAATGCTGTACAGTTTTATCAATTGATTACAAACAGGAGATACACAAAGTGGCACTACAAAGTATACATCCACTCAGTAACTCAGTACTGTCTGCCAGGCATTGTTCTAGGATCTGGACATAAACGGATAAGAAAGACATAGGTCTTATCTTGTAGGAGACATAAGCATGTAGACCAAAAATTTCAGTGTGTGAGTGAATTATCCAAGTTTGTATGGAGTACCTAGCAGGTCTGAGGTTGATCAGTGAGGAGTGAAAAATGGTTTCACAGAGTTGAATGTGAACTCACTCTTGAAGAGTGAGTACAGTAGGTAGGGAGAGGATATTCTGTGGTGTGGTGGCTTGGAATGGCATGTGATAAATGTTAGAGGACCGGAAGTTGCTCAGTACTTCTGGAGTGTAGAAGGAGGAAGGGCGTGGGAATTAGGGTTGAAGAACTGCTTGGTGTTGCCCTGCTGCCATCTCGTGGCAGTTTCTGTTATTGCAGGGGACGCGTTTTCTAATGTCCCCAGAATTCCCATTTTTATTCAGGGGCACTGTTTGGGGGCCCTATTCAGATTCCAATTGTGGCAGGATTCCAAAAGTCTTAGGTAGAGTCAATACAGGATATTTCATGCATACTGGAATTTTTTTTCCCCCCATACTGGAATTAAGGGCTTTTTTTTTTTAAGATTTTATTTATTTATCTGACAGAGACACAGCAAGAGAGGGAACACAAGCAGGGGGAGTGGGAGAGAGAGAAGCAGGCTTCCCGCGGAGCAGGGAGCCAGATGCGGGGCTCGATCCCAGGACCCTGGGATCATGACCTGAGCCGAAGACAGACGCCCAACGACTGAGCCACCCAGGCGCCCCAGTTAAGGGCTTTTAAAAAATTGAAAAATTCTATTTAAAAGACTATTACTTTTTCATTATTAAGTAAAAGTGAAAACTTTAAAAGAAATCTCGGTCACATTCAAAACAACTATCTGATTACAGGCCTCCCATATACATCAAATTTGACAGTGATTACAAAGTAGCAGTTATATCAGTGATAAAGGAATAAAATTACTTGAAATAGCTTCCCAAGTAGTAGGATTATATACCTATTTAAGTTAACAATTAGGGGTAATAAGTAGATTACATAATGTTAGACAACATTGTATTAGAAAGAAAATAGCACAGGTGGTTTTGTGATGTACAACCTAATTTCATCCCCCCCTCAACATTTTAATACGCAGTTTCCAAGCAAACATGAAAATTGGAAGAATTTTATAACACCGGTAGACCCTCATCTAGATTCTGCCATTAGCATTTTACTCTATTTATCACCTTCCTATCTGCCTTTTCTCTGCGTCCATCAATTCTTACTTCCTTTTGAGGCATTTAAAGTTAATTGCAGACTTCCTCCTATACTTTAGCATACATACCATCAATCACACTTAACATTTGTTTGTGGTATTTTTTGAAGTAACATTTAATACAATTAAATATGCATATCTTTAGTGTACATTTGCTGAGCTTTGGCAAATGCGTACACCTGGGCACCCTAAGTCCTTCTCAAGATAAACAGCATTACCTGGGCGCCTGACTGGCTCAGTCGGTGGAGCACGTGACCCTTGATCTCGGAGTTGCAAGTTCAAGCCCCACATTGGGTGTGGAGATTACTTAAAATCAAAAGAACATTATCATCACCCCAGAAAGTTCCTCCACCCGCTTTTTCTCAGTTAATCTCTGCTCCCTCCCCCCACCTCACCACTGTTCTGATTTTTTTCCACTGAAGATTAGTTTTGCCTGTTCTGGAACTTCATATAAATGGACTCATATAGTCTGTACTCCTCTATACAGGTTCCTTTTGCTCAGCATATTTTGAGATTGACCCATTTTTTGGTGCGTTATCAGTAGTCCATTACTTTTCACTGCTGCGTCGTATTCCGTTCTGTGACTGTACCACAGTTTGTTTATCCATCTTTCTATCACTGTGCACCCGGGCTGTGTCCAGTTTTTGGCTCTTAGGAACAAGACTGATGTATTTTCATACAGGTCTTTTTGTGGATGCACATCTAGGAGTAGAACCGCTGGGGCTGGGATTGATGTATGTATTTAGTTTGATGCCAGACCTTTACCCAGAGTGGTGGCTGCCCTTCACACAGCCACCGGCATCGTATTCGAGCCCTAGTTGCTCCACACCCTTGCCAGCTTTGGAGCTGTCACTCTTTTCAATGATCTCGCTTTGTTTTAGCCATTGTCATTTGATCAGAAGAAAAATGATACCTACTAGTGTTCATTATTCTCCTAGGGAAGAATTAAAAAAAAAACAAAAACTTGTCATACTTATTTCTTAGTTCTGTTCATTTCTGTCTTTTTCTTTCAGCTTTTTATTTTGACATACATTCACACTTCAGAAAGCTGCCCTCGGCCACTCTGCAGCATTTGACAGTCTTCACCAGTTTTTATTTAAATTTTCTCTTGCTATGTTGTAGAAGAAACCATTCTTTCTTGGTTTTTCACCAGCCACCACTCATCTTAGCTTCTTGGCAGGATGTTCATCCTCTGCACCCCCCTTAAATGCAGCTGTTCCCAGTTCCAGCCTGGATCCCCCTCTTGATAGACTTACTGGGGGATTTTACTCATACCCTGGCTTCACCTGCTGCCAGTGCTCTAACTCCCTAGTCTGCTTCTGCAGCTCAGATCTCTTTTTTTTTTTTTTAAGATTTTATTTGAGAGAGAGAGAGTGCCCATGAGGTTGAGGGGAGAGGCAGAGGGAGAGGGAGAAGCAGACTTCCCCACTGAGCAGGGAGCCTGATGTGGGCTCGATCTCAGGACCTTGAGATCATGACCTGAGCCGAAGGCAGATGCTTCACCGACTGAGCCACCCAGGCGCCCCTTAGATCTCTTTCTTGACCCTTAACTAACTGTACCGATTGGGATGTCCCCAACACAGCTCAAACTCAATTTATTCAAGTCGAATATAATTTCCCACCTTCCATTTACATACCGCTCATTTCCCTGTATTTCCTAATTTGGTAAATAGCCCACAGTCCTAGTTGTCAAGCCAGAACGCAGGGGCTAAATCTGGACTCCTTCCTCCTGCAGGCATTTGGTTACCAGTTCCTGCTGGTTTTCCTTTTTTTAAGATTTTATTTATTTATTTGAGAGAGAGAGAGAGCATGATCAGGGTGTGGGGGGGTGGGCAGCAGAGGGAGAAGCAGACTCCCCGCTGAGCAGGGAACCCAATGCAGGGCTCCATCCCGGGACTCCGGGATCATGACCTGAGCCGAAGGCAGACGCCAAACCCACTGAGCCACCCAGGCACCCCACCTGCTGGTTTTCCTCTTGTGTGTATGCCTCTAACCTGCCTGATCCATCTGAGGTCACGTCTGACCTTCTGCTACCAGGTGCTGCCCCTCCACAGCCCATGTTGTTAATGCTGATGGACTCCTTTTATTTTTTAATAGCTCATTCAGGTATGTATGTATATATTTATAAAGATTTTATTTATTTGTCAGAGAGAGAGAGCAAGAGAGAGCACAAGCAGGGGGAGTGGGAGAGGGAGAAGCAGGCTCCCCTGTGAGCAGGGAGCCCGATGCAGGACTCGATCCCAGGAACCTGGGATCATGACTTGAACCAAAGGCGGATGCTTACCTGACTGAGCCACCCAGGCGCCCCATCATTCAGGTTTTTAAATTACAAAATGGTATATGCCTCTTGTAGAAAATCACACAAAACAGAAATTTATAAAATTTTTAGTCTCTCCTGCCCCAACTTCTAAGACATTTCTATTCTCCAGAAATAACCAGTGTTAATACTACTTAGGTATATATTCTTCCAGATTTTTTGATTTAAATACAAACACACACCGAGGGGCACCTGGGTGGCTCAGTTGGTTGAGCGTCTGGCTCTTGATTGCATTTCAAGTCATAATCTTGGGGTGGTGGGATTGAGCCTGGTGGAGGGCTCTGCGCTCAGTGGGGTGTCTGCTTGCTATTCTTTCCCTCTGCTCCTCTCCCTGCTCACGTGTGCCCACTCTTTCTCTCTCTAAAATAAATAAATCTTAAAAAAAACACAAACACACACAAGTACATATGTATTTATTCTTTTCAAAACAATTATGCAATACTCTTGTCTAACAGCTTAGTTTTTTTTACTTAATAAAACATGTCAGTATATTGAGAGCTACCTGAGATTGGTATAGAGTAGCGATACACCATAATTTATTTAATAATTCCCCATTGATGGATAATGAATCATGCTGCAGTGAACATTACTATACATATTATTTTTGCCAGTGTTTCATTGCACAGATTCTTGGAAGTAGGATTATGTACATTTTAAATATTTCTGAATCCTTTCGGTTGCCCTTCAGAAAGATGGCACCTTTCTTTTGTTTCTTGTCTTTTTCTTGTATGAGAATTTATTATTTTTTTTATTACTAATGATGTACTATATGTTGGCTAACTGAAGATGGCACCTTTTTACAAAAATCTCTTACTGTTTCAGTGTCAGAGGCCTCCCTTGCCAATCTTAGGTATTTATTAATCCTTCAGCAGTTTTCATTTTTTGCCAACTCAATAGGCAGACTCTATATAGTGTTATGAAATTTCACACCAGAATACTTTTTATGCCTAGGTCTGTAACTGTCTTCAGCATTTTCTCAGTCTTGTTCCCTGTTTGGATTAGGTGACTTTTAGCTCTTGAACAAGCAGGATGCTGGGGAAGAGGGTTTCTCTGATATGTATTTCTCCCGGCAGGAGAAGCTTCTTAAGACTCAGTGTAGTCTGAAGGACAAGATGAAGAAAGCCATATATTTTCAGGACATGGAAATGAAGAATGTTACCGAGTGGAAGGTAACAGCAGAAGCCGCTGGGCATTTCTTGCCCCCGAGGCCCTTTGGTGTTGTTGGGAATAGTTAGTTGTCAGGCTCCTTGCAGATAAGGTGATAGAACAGGAAGTGTCTCTACTGACCTGCGGTTTTGGGGGATGGGCGTTTCACATACTTTATCCCCATACCTGTAAGGTAGTGCCCCTCTCCTTCCTAGTTTTCCTAAATATACTCCCTAGGTGGTTGTTGGTTTGGGTCCACGGCATTGTGGAAAGTAAATGGGCTTTGTTTTCAGAGAGACTAGTTTAGTTGGGAGGCACCCGTGCACATCTAAAGGAAACTAAACTGTAAGTGTTCTGGAGGCTAAACTAAATAATAAATGTGAAAGTGTATTTTAGTTTAAAAAATATACAAACGAGGCATTGCCATCAGTAGTAGAGACGGAAACGTTACAAAGAATGAACTAATACTATACAGGCTGGTACAGAGATTAGCGGAAATCTGGGGAGGGCAGGCAAGGGCTTCCTAGGGGAGGGGTTAGGGTGGAAGCCCCATGGGCTGCTGGGGGGTCTCGTGCACGGAACTGAGGAGCGAGAACAGGACTGAGCACATCTCCGGTGGCTCTAGGAGAAGATGAAGAATCAGCGAGTGACGATCAGCGCAGAGTTTGCAAAGCTGCACCGCTTCCTGGCAGAAGAAGAGCAGCTGTTTCTTCAGAGACTGAACAAAGAAGAAGAAGAGACGAAGAAGAGACAGAATGAGAACACATTAAAGCTCCGTCAGGAAATCACCTCCTTGAAGCAGCTCATCTTGGAGGTCAAGGAGAAGAGCGAGAGCTCCAGCCTGGAGCTGCTTCTGGTGAGACAGGCCGGGGGGGTGTCTTTCCTGGCGAGGGGATTTCATAGAAGAAATATTTTCTCTCTGTTGATAATTATGATACTACTGTCATTAAACAATCAAAGATTCACCTTTCAAAGGAAATTAATGGGAAAGTTAGGTATGCAGAGCTCAGGTATTATGAGATACCTAGGTTCACTTGGGCTAATAGTTTGCGTAGGATCTGAAGCACATCTAAGACTTTTCCATTCTTCTTATTTGTACATTCATAATTTGTTAAGACAGTAAATAAAACAAAGCAACCTAAAATCACAAAGCAGGTAACTGTATCAACAGTTTTTAAGATAAATTTATCTTTCTTACTAATTTATTATTTTTAAAGATTTTATTTTATTTTATTAAAGATTTTATTTGAGAGAGAGAGACAGAGAGAAAATGAGCAGGGGAAGGTACAGAGGCAGACGGAGAAGCAGACTCCCTGGTGAGCAGGGAGCCTGACATGGGACTCGATCATGAGCTGAGCCGAAGGCAGACTCTTAACTGAGCTGCCCAGGTGCCCTCTTACTAATTTTTAATCATCACAGTCATAGCTTGATAATAACTTTGCTCTTAGCCCCAGATTTTGATTGGTATATTCATTCAAATAATTTCTAATATCCAGCAGCCTTTAAAAGGTTGTAATTCTAATTCATTCGCACTTAGGAGGTCTGGCTGACTCATTCAGTGGAGCATGTGACTCTTGATCTTAGGGTTGAGAGCTCAAGCCCCACATTGGGCGTGGAGCTTAGTAAAAAAAAAAAAAAAAAAAAGTAATTCATTAGCACTTAAATATGGGACTTTTAAGCCAGTTTATTATCCTTCCTTGGAGTTCATCTTTACCTTTATATGCTCAGCAGGTAAGTGTCCTTATAGCTATTTCAGTTTTTGGATAGGATCCAACATTTGTGACCATCTTCTTTTTTTCTGCTGAGATAATTCCTTTGGTCTTAGATTCCTCAAAACCTCTCTTTCTTCCATATGATGTGACTCGAGAGAAAAGAACCATTGAACTATGATTTTTTTTTTTTTTCTTATCAGGAGACAATATTCTCTTCTACCTTTAAGGAAGAGAGATACAGGAACCCACTCACCAGTTATTTTCAGCAGGAAATTTCTAGCAGGGTGTTACATGCCATCGAAGTGTAATGATTTCCAGGAATTGTCTAGAACTTTCTCAACTTGCTTGAGCCATGAAGTTCCAGTTACGTATCCAAATGTAAACTCTAGCAGAATCTTTGAAATAACACATTTAAACAGTTTTGTTCAATATAGGTTTAATATCTGCTTAGAATCTGAAACCTCGAGGAGACACATGAGCTAGCAGAATGCTTACAAAAAAGTCTATCAGCCAGTATAAGGGCAAGGGTAGGTAAATGTTTAAAGAAGATAGAACTGAATCATAGAGTCTCAAGGTCTAAGAGAACTTATTTTACTGATCTGGTCCCCTGTCCATCTATTTTTTCCTTTATTCCTTCACTTTTAGCCTGTAAGTCACTTCCATTCTTGGAACTATAGATACATCCAAAAAAAAAAATACTGTTATTCCTAATTTTTATCTTTTTATTTGAATGTGTTCTTGCACAATACACAGTATTGCTTTGGTTTACGTATTTTTAATTTTTTTTCCTTAGGCACTCACTATGTTTTTAAGATCCATTCCTGTTGCCATATATACGTTGGACCCATATGTCCATCCACCACATTTTGCCAGTTCCTTCTTCCAGTGATGGAAATCCAGGTTGCCCTAATACCATTACCACTAGAAGTAATGGTGCAGTGACATCATTGATATCTGCTCTTCTTGTTTTTATTATTGTTATTTTTTATTAGTTCGTGGGTTTGCTCTGTGGCTCTAGCTCTTTCTCGGCCTCTGGAGCTGGCATGCTTAGCTCATCTACATTGACCCTTTTTTTTTGCTGGTAAATGTTTTTAAGCTATACTTTCCCCTTTAAATATTACTTGGGTCCATGGATTCAGACAGCATCACTTTTATTGTCATAATACAATAGACATGTTTAAAAACATTTTAAGTATAACGTCCCTAGAGAAAAATGTATAAATCATAAACTTGACAGATTATCACCAAGGGACCCATCCATGAAACCGCCAGCCAAGTCAAGTAATAGAACATGCGTAGCCTGCCTGACACCCTCCACGTGGCCCAGTCAACACCCCTTCCCTTTTCTGCGAGGCTGTTCTCCCTCCAGACTTTTCACACAGTTTCATCTTGCCTGTTTTTGAGTAAGAGTCTTGGGGGTATGTGCTGCTTTTGCTCAACATTATGTTGTGAGATTAGCCCATGTTGTTGTAGATGGCAGTTTGTGCGCATCACTGAGTAGCACATCCCAACCTGGAGCTATTTTGCTCCCCCAGGGGGCAGTGTTGGAGACCTTTTTGGTTGTTACAACTTGGGGGTGGCTTCTACCAGCATCTAGTGGGTGGAGGCCGTGGATGCTGCTAAACATCCTACAATGCACGGAACACGCCTCACCTCCAGCTCCCAGGAAAGACCTATCCAGCCCCAAATGTTAATAGTGCCGAGGTTGAAAAACCCCACTGTAGAGTATTACATTGTTATACCAAAACATACTATTTACTCTACTGGTAGCAAAATGTGGGTTGTTTCTACTTTTTACTGTTACAAAAAAGCAGTCATGAACATGTCTTTTTTGGTGCATTTATGTCCACCTTTCTGTCAGTTGTGTATCTGCAAAAGCATTTCCTAGTCACAGGGCGTACGTTGGGTCAGCCTTAGTAGATGATTCCAAATTATTTTCCAAAGTGGTTGCATCAGTTGCCACTGTTACTTGCAGTGTGTGAGAGATCCAGTCACTCTGTATGCTCAGCCATACTCGTTGTCAGTTCTTTAGTTGCAGCCGTGTCGGATGGTGTGGAATGTTATCTCAGGCCCTCAGTCGGCACCCCTGCCCTCCTCCCAAAAGGTAGATTCATTTCCCTAATGACTAATGAGGTTGAGTACTGTTTCATGTGGCAATGAATCATTTTTTTTTTTTTAAAGATTTTATTTAATTGACAGAGAGAGAGAGAGAGAGACAGAGAGAGAGGGAACACAAGCGGGGGGAGTGGGAGAGGGAGAAGCAGGCTTCCCGCTGAGCAGGGAGCCCGATGCGGGGCTCGATCCCAGGACTCTGGGACCATGACCTGAGCCGAAGGCAGTCGCTTAACCAACTGAGCCACCCAGGCGCCCCTGCAATGAACCATTTTGATACTTTTTTTTTTTAAGCTTTCTTGAGGTATAATGTACATATCTTATAATTCACCCATTTTAAGTGTACTTTTTTTTATAACTAAATAAGTGATTTTACCAAGTTGTGGAAACCTTACCAAAGTCCAGTTTTAGAGCATTTCCATCACCCCACTAAGATAGCTTGGTGCTTGTTTATAGTTAATCTCTGTTGCTGCTTCCAGCCCCAGACAACCTACTTTCTGACTCCATAGATTTCCTTTTCTAAATATATCTATAAACAGAATCATACACTACGTGATTTTTTGTGCATGGAATCTTTCATTTATAATGTTTCTTAGGCTCATTCATGTTGTAGTGTTCATTAGTATTGTATTTATATTCCTTTTTTTATTTCTCAAGAGTATTTTATTATAGAATATGTCACATTTTGTTTATCGGTTCACCAATTGATGGACATTTGGGTTATCTCCCTCCACCTTTTGGCTCTTATGAATGATGATGCTGATGTGAACATTCGTCTGCCATTCTTTGTCTGGACATACACTTTCATTTCTCTCGGGTAGATAGTAGGAGCAGAATTGCTGGGCTGTATCGTATATTTATATTTAGTTTTTTTAGAAACTGCCAAACTGTTTTCCAAAGTGGCTGAACCATTTTGTATTCCCACCACATCCTCACCAACACTTGTTATTGTCTTTGGGTGAAAGACAATAGATGGAGAAGTAGGCAGAAAGCCAGGAGAGGGTTAGTGTCATAGTGCCAAAGGAGAAAGAGTAGGGTTTCAAGAAAGGGATTGGTTACCACTGTCAAACAGTGCAGAGGGGTCAGGTGGAGAAAGAGACACCGTGTGTTCAATCCATTGGCTTTGGCGGCGTGAGATCATATGTGACATTAACAAAAGCGACCGACAGAGAAATACCTGCTCATCAAGTTGAGTACCAGATCTCGGGAGGAGGGGACGTAACTCGCTTATGTTTTTCTTCTCTTCACAGAATCCAAAAGATGTGTTGACCAGGTATGAGCTGCTGCTTTTTCATGGGGCCCTGAGTGGAGGGGAAACAGGACTGGCCTACAGAGAGCAGTCTGGGCACACCTGAGAGTCGGTGGGGAAGGAATTCCAGCGCTCACTTTTGCAAGGGGGAATGGGCGAGCGGTGGTCTGAGCTTTGGGCTTGGAACCTTCAGTGGGAGTTGGGGGCCTTGGCTGCCTGAATTGTCTCCTAAGAAGAGCAGCCTTCTGTACTTTCCTTAGGAGTGAGAGCCAGGATGTGAGCTATTCCCTTGAAGTTCTGACGGTGAAGACTGTGTGCCAGATACCGATGATGAAGGAAATGCTGAAGCGATTCCAAGGTAAGCAAGAAATCTTTAAAATAAGAGAATAAGCACTGAGAAAACTTTAGAAAGGAAAGAAGAAACAGAACATGCAGCTAGTGGGAGGGTCAGGAAAAATGGTGTTAACTAGAATACATGTATATATGCTTCATTCAAGAAGCATTTACTTAACACACACCGTGTGTATAAGGTGCTAGTTATACAGAAAAAAAAGACCTATTTCTAAGAATTCAAGTAAATTGGACAGACTCCGATCACTTATTATAACATAGTGGGATCTACTGTTTATCAACGTATGAGTAAAATATTATGGAAGGTCAGAGAAAGAGCTGTTGGGGGTGAAGTGGGGAAGTTTCCACACAGAGGTGACATTGTTCTGGGATTTGAGGGATGAACAGGAGTTTGCCAAGTGGAAAATGGAGGTGTACTCGTGTAAGCAGAAGGAGCAGCATGAGCTAAGCTGTGGAGAAAATGGAGGGGTAGGTATCCAGTGTGACTAAACCATAAGGTACTTTGTGGGCAAAGGCAGGAGCTGAGGTTGAGATGGTTAACATAGGAAAGTCTGAAGATAAATTTACTGGATCTCCAGGGAATTGCCAAGGCATGTAGGTGTTGTAAACGCTATGCAGGCAGTTCTCTTGTGCACATCCCTGATGAAGAACCATGTGGTGGATGAAGTAATGGGGACTGGATTTACTCTTCAGCCTGAAACTTAGCTAACTAAAAAACTAAAATAAAACAGACACGGTACATGAAATAACCGTTTTCCCAACCCTGGATATCAGGCAGTACAGGACAAGGAAATGTGAAACAATGCGGTGAGCTGTATGATGGCTCCAGCCTCCAGCCTGAAAAGAGCTTCCAGGCCATCGTGGGGGGGCGGGGAGGGTAGTGGAGGTGAAGCCAGGTTGAGGAATGGAGCGGAGTCCGGGGAGGACTAAGCAGTGAGAGCTTGCAGAGTACTGGACAGAGTACTGGCGAGGAGAGAGCCATCCAGAGGGCGATGATCTGCAGAGGTCCCCCTGAATATTTAGCAGAGTACTGACCAGCAGATGCTTGTGAAAATCTACCTTAGACTGAGGAAGGACGTTTCCAAAATGATTAGAAAGAACAGTTCCTGGTGCTCCCACAGGGCCCAAACAATGCCTGTTCCTAGCAGCCAGACTAGAAAACTCTTAATTCCTGGGAAAATCTTGCCTCATTAGTGGGGAATAATTAACCCTACACTGAACACTGCTTTGGACCCACCTTATAAATCATGAACACCAGATCCAAAAGGATCAGATTATTTCCAAGTAAATGCATCCCGGACAAAGCTTAAGATTTTAAAAAATGAGTACCTAACCATGTAAATTCACAATGTCTGGCATCCAGTCAAAGATTACCAGGCATGCAAAAATGTAGGAAAGCATGACCCATAATGAGAATAATCGATTGGTACTGACCCAGGATTGAGCCAGATGTTAGGATAAGCACAGAAGGACTTTAACACACTATCCTATAAAGAAGTATTTGGAGACAGGAAGATCTAAAAAAGTCCCAGGTCAAACCTCCAGAGATAAAACTACAGTGATTGACAGGAATACACTGGTTGGGATTAATAGACGATTAGATGTTGCAGGAAAAAAGATTATCGAATTTGAAGATGCAGCAGCGGAAACTACAAAATGAAACACACAGGAAAAACCTTAAACCATGAAAAGAGCCTTGGTGAGCTGGGGGACAATCTCATGCAGTCTTATGTGTGGTACGTGGGATCCTTGAGGAGATGAGTAGGATGCGGATGAGACAGGAAAAATATCTGAAGGAATAACGGCCCCAGGGCGCCAGGTGGCTCATTGGGTTAAGCGTCTGCCTTCGGCTCAGGTCCTGATCTCAGGGTCGGTCCTGGGATCAAGCCCTGTGTTGGGCTCCCTCCTCAGCAGGAAGTCTGCTTTTCCCTCTGCTCCTCCCTCCCCTGCTCATTTTTTCTCTCTCTCTCTCTCTCAAATAAAATCTTAAAAAAAATAAAGAATGTTCCCAAATTTTCCAAATTTGGTGAAGGCCATTAGTCCACAGATCCAATAAGCTCGACAAGCCCTAAGCACAAGAAATATGAGAGGAGCTACACCAAACACCAGTGTGAAGAGGACATTTTTGATGCAAGAAGAGACAAAGGACATGTTACTTAAGATGGAAAAAAGAGATGATGGCCCATTTCTCTGAATTTACCAAACTTTTCAGAAATAAATCTCCATTCTACATGAACTCTTAACAAAAAACTAAAGAGGGAACGATGCCCAATTCAGCGTACGCAGCCTGCATTATCGTGATACCCAAATCAGACAAAGACATTACAAGAGAAAAGGGCTATATAGATCAGTGTCCTTCATGGACACAGAAGAATTCTGAAGATAATTTTAGCAAACTGAACCTAGCATATTTGTAGATAATGCGTCACAACCAAGTGGGTTTTATTCTAGAAAAGCAGGGCTGGTTTAACATTTGAAAAGTCAGTGTAATTCATCACCTTAGCAAACTAAAAAAAGGAAAACTATATGATCACTTCAGTAGATGCAGAAAAAGCATTCGTCAACACCTAACATCCATTCCCGATTAAAAAAATAGGGCTCGATAAACTAGAGAGACATGGAGAGTCTGGGAGGAAGGCTGGGAGGCAGGGAGGCCAGGGAGGAAGTCAGACCGTTCAAGTGGGGCATGCCAGAGGTCTGAGTGAAGATGGTGGCAGTGGGACGGAGAAGAGGCCGAGCACCTGAGTGGTATTTCAGAGGTGGGACTGATGGAACTTGGTGACAAGTAACCCATCCAGGGTCAGAGGGAAAGAGGAGTCAGATAACCTTAAGATTTTAAGGTGTGAGTGTTCGGGTGGAGTTAGTGCTCTTACAGATCAGAGAACGCAGAAGACAAGACGTCTGCATGGGAAGGGGTAGGAGTCCCAAGGGGATGCAAGGGGGCTTAGGATAGTGAGTTGCAGTTTGAGTGATCTGTCAGGGGCCTGTGGAGATGCCCAGTGAACAACTGGAACCAGTAAAGAGAAAACTTGTTAACAGTGCCACCTCCGTGTCCCCGTGTAAAGCACCATCCTGTCCGCCGTCTTGGTCTGGTCCTGTTTGAACAAGTCAGAATCTGGTAATGTTTCTTCCAATTTGATGCTGATTGTGAAGACTTGGGGCCATGAAACAATGAGCTCCCTGTTTTTAGGTCTTAGTCGTTTAGAGCAGAAGGGAAATGAAAATTTCACTGTGCTTGAGACCGCACTATGGCCTGCCAGGCCCAGCCGAGGATCAGTTGAGAGGCAGTGGGGAGTCTCATCCCTAACGGTTCTTGTTAGGAGACGCACGGAACTGAAGCTGGAAAAAAGTTTCTGGAGGAGGGTTGGTGGTAAGCTGTCACATTGTAAAGATTTTATTTATTTGAGAGAGAGAGAATGAGAGAGAGCACGAGAGGGAAGAGGGTCAGAGGGAGAAGCAGACTCCCCGCCGAGCAGGGAGCCCGATGCGGGACTCGATCCCGGGACTCCAGGATCATGACCTGAGCCGAAGGCAGTCGCTCAACCGACTGAGCCACCCAGGCGCCCAAGCTGTCACATTATAAGTCGCCACTCTCATTTTCTCTGCAGTGGCTGTAAATGTAGCTGAAGACACGGCACATCCCAAGCTTATCTTCGCCCAGGATGGGAGATACGTGAAAAATGGAGCATCGGCCAGTTCTTGGCCGTTGTTTTCTTCAGCATGGAGCTACATCAGCGGATGGAGGAACCCTCAGAGGATCGCACAGTTTGTGGGAAGATTTCAGCACTTACCCTGTGTTTTGGGAAAAAATGTTTTCACTTCAGGGAAACATTACTGGGAAGTTGAGAACCGGGATAACCTGGAGATTGCCGTGGGGGTGTGTCGGGAGGACGTCATGGGGCTTGCTGATGCTTCAGAAATGGGCCCCCGTGTGGGCATCTGGGCTCTCTGTTGGGGTTCCGCCGGCTTTCGGCCCCTGAAAAGCTCCTCTGTAAGTCCTACCAAGCAAGAGCCCGCTCTTAGCCGGGTGGGAGTTTTCGTCGATTCTGGGGCTGGGAGCATCTCCTTCTACGGCGCTGTGGACGGCACGCACCTACACACCTTCTCTTGTCCTCGCGTGTCCCGCCTCCGGCCATTTTTTTGGTTGAGTCCATTAGCATCTCTAGTCATCCCGGCAGTGACGGGTGGGAAATGAGGCTGTTCCTCCCCTGCCCGAGAACCTGTCCCTGTACCCCGGCGCAGGCACATGCACCCCTCGGCCCTCTTCTCTCTCCATACGTACCGGTCCAGGCGGCACGTCCACACCGTCCGTTCGCTTGGCTCCCTGTGCGTGCTGTGCACGCACAGGGATGGGGGACCCGTGGGTTGCCTTTCCAGTGGCCACTTGCTGCACTTCCCTCCTCCTCTTCTGGTTCTTCTGACGGAACGGTCGGGGGAGCACCGTCCCTGGGCTTCAGGAGAAGCAGCCCCACGTGAGGCAGTGCTGGCCAGTGAGCTGGGAGGAGGCATTTTCTAAGGCGCTTCTGGGGATAGATTGTGTAGCTTTAAGGAAGAGGTGTTTGAGGAGACACAGCCCCTCTCGTGATGTCAGCAGCTGTCTCAGGACTGAGGGGAGCACGGTAGCAGTGCACAGGAAGAAGAAACATGGTCTTCGCTGGCATCGCTGGGCTGTTGGAATCTCCTTACCCTGACACTTCGTATTATAGGAGGTGACTGCTCCCTTATTGTATAAGGCAATTCAGGTTGCCTTTTGGTATAGGATTGTCTCACTTTCCCTGAAATTGGACAGCTCTGTAGACTCTGCTTCTGTTCAGTCATGTCATTCCTCTTCTCCAGGAAGTACTGAGACCTCTCGCTTTTCTGGATCAGAAAGTTAGGGAAATCTTCCCTTACTCTGTGCTGTGACTCTTCTTCACCTGACCAAGTCTGACCATGAACACCTCAAGTGTTCATTTTGTTACCCATCTGTCAGATTCTTACACACTGTTTATGCAGGATGTTAACGTCACACCTCAAATGTTGGGAGACGCTTGCTACGTATTCAGACTGTGCTGCTGGCTTCTTTGGTAATGCTCTCCTACGACTCCTGCAGAAGTTCAGTGTGGGAGAGGGAAATTAAAATTCTCTTTCTACAAGGAAGACAATAAACTGTGAGACAATAAACTTCTGTTATGTCAAGCCACCCGGTTTGTGGTTTGTTACAGAGTCTTAGGAAACCAGTACACTCGCCCATCAGGACTTCCTCCAGTATCTGCCTTATTCATTTCCAGTCCTTGGGAAACTCATCACTACCTTTCCTCCATCCTCCTCTGGGGCTGTTGAGCCAGGTTGACTGGTTCTGTTATAAAGTCTTGCTCTCTGACTTCAGGTGGGTTCTTTGAGCTGCTTGGTGTACAACTTTATTTTTTCATCCCTTGACTTCCTTTTACATCTCTGGTGGCAGTGATTCCAAACCATTTCCTCCTTTCTCAAAGCTTCATGAGCCCACCTGCGTACCGTGGGGGAGGCAAACTTTACCAGTCTTAGGTTTTCAGCTGGGACTCTAACAAAATGTCAGACTAATAAGAGAACAACAGTTTATTAACACATGCAGCACACACCAAGCAGGAAAAACCTAAAATGAAGAGTAACTCAAAGTGGAGGCTTAGAATTGTGGCTTACATAGTATCTTTAACAAAGAACAATACAGTTGTGGAAAAATGACAGGAAAAACAGTCAGCCTGCAAAGGGTGGCAGACTGTGGGAAGGTAAATGCATGTGAGGAAACTAATGGAGTAAATGTTTATTTGCAGATTCCTTGTTGGTGCGGTCTCCAGTAAAAGGGGAATTTATATCCTGCCATTTGGCAGGAAAGGGGAGCTTTTTCTGGGTTTGGCGCTCTTAATTGCCTTCAGCTCAAAATGATTTTTATGCCAAAGAGACCTATTTTGGGCTGACACATTCTGGTTTCCTTCATTATTATTAAAGAACTTGCATCTTTTACTGAGAAAAATACTATTCTCTTGCTCTACCTATTTTATTAACATTTTTTTTTTTGCCTCTTTTAAGTCTTGATATTGGCCCCTCAAGTATGGGATGGGACACAGGTATCATATTTACTAAAAATGAAATAAACTCTTATGGTGCCTCTGATGTACAAACAGAATTGAGAATGAACTTGTAACAGTTTTCAATGTTACTTAGGGATTTCTCTGAGTCTTTACTATGTTACTACATCATGACTTACTTGGAGAGGTATTTATTACACAGGATTTCTCAAGCTTATTTCACCATAGAAACTAGCTCAGGGAGCAGCAACTAAGACTTCCCAGAAGACAGTTTGGCAACGCCTGTTTATCCTACACTTTCTCCAGATGATCTTGACTATCTCTGATTTCAACCTATACTTGCACTGTATAAAGTTGGTGGGTACACTGTGTGACCATGGATAAGGCTCTGCTAAAATCTTCTCCCCTGGAGACTAGGCTCTTGTTATGAATATATGCTCTCCACCCCTCCAACACTGCAGCTCCCAGAAGTTTCTCACCCTTAAGCTAGCCCACAGTCAACCTCCAGCAATTCATCAAAATTACTATTTAAGTATTCCTACAAGTTTATGGCTCCGGTGGATTTTGATCTCAGCTTTGACTCTGTGGATTTGCCTGTCTATCCAGATCTTGGGGTGGCAATTTGTCATGCAACCTTAGTTCTCCCACAGGTCCAAGAAAAGCCATTGATTTTCAGTTTTCTCATCTTTCTTGTAAGGATATGAGTTACGACTTCCAAATTCTTTTTTTTTTAGATTTTATTTATTTATTTGACAGAGACATAGCAAGAGAGGGAACACAAGCAGGGGGAGTGAGACAGGGAGAAACAGGCTTCCCGTCAAGCAGGGAGCCCGATGCGGGGCTCGATCCCAGGATCCTGGGATCATGACCTGAGCTGAAGGCAGATGCTTAACGACTGAGCCACCCAGGCGCCCCACGACTTCCAGATTCTTTACATGTAGGAGCTGAAGCTGCAAGTCTATCAGAATAGGCTTCTTCTAGACTTCTGTAATGGTTGTGTCTACTTCACTAAGGGGTGCCTAGACAGCCGGTAAAACATTTCTGGGTATGTCTGTGAAGGTGTTTCCAGGAGAGATTAGCATTTGAACTGATAGACTGAGTAAAAAAGATCATTTTCACCGAAGTGGGTAGACATCATCCAATCAACTGTGAGCCTGAATAGAAAAAAAAGGCAGCAGAAGGGCAAGTTTCTCCTCTGCTTAAGCTGGGACATCCATCTTCTGCCCTGGGACATTGGTACTCCGGGTTCTTGGGCCTTCAGACTTGGACTGGGACTTAGACCATTGCCACCCGATTTTTGAGCCTTTGGACCTGAACTGGAATTTACACCATTATTTCCTCTAGTTTTCAGGTCTTTGGACTCAGACTGAATTACATACACACCAGCTTCCCTGGATCTCCAGCTTGCAGACAGCACCATGGAACTTCGTGGCCTCCATGGTCACATGAGCCAATGGCCACTGATCCATCCTATTGGTTCTATTTTTCTGGAGAACCACTTGCTTTTTTTTTTTTTTTCCCTTTAAATCATCTAGTCTTTCCATTCTTAACTGTTGAACTGTTCACCTTTAAAGTTATCGTTTTTGGGGTACATGCACCCTGATGTTTATAGCAGCATTATCAACAATAGGCAAACTATGGGGAGAGCCCAAATGTCCATCGACTGATGAATGGATAAAGATGGGGGGTGTGTGTGTATATATCTGTATTATATTATTCACCCATCAAAAAGAATGAAATCTTGCCATTTGCTGTAACATGGATGGAACTAGAGAGTATAATGCTAAGAGAAATAAGAGAAAGACAGACACCATTTGATCTCACTCATATGAGGAATTTAAGAAACAAAACAGATGAACATATGGGAGGGGGGGAAATAAATAGAAGGGAACAAATCATAAGAGACTCTTAACGATAGAGAACAAACTCAGGGTTGATGGAGGGAAGAGGGTGGGGATGGGCTAGACGGGTGATGAGCGTTAAGGAGGGCACTTGTTGTAATGAGCACCAGGTGTTGTATGTAAGTGATGAATCACTGAATTCTACTCCTGAAACTAATATTGCACTGTATACTAACTAGAATTTAAATAAAAATTTGAAAAAAGAAAAAAAATGGAATCATTTCTCTAATTTCTCTTTCTACAGTTGCATTGTTAGTGTATAAGAAAGCAACTGATTCCTGTGCATTGATTTTGTATCCTGCCACATTACTGGATTGCTGTATGAGTTCTAGTAATTTGGGGGTGGAGTCTT